GGAGATCCATCTGTGGTGACGTTAACAAGCTTACTCCAGGGAAGCTTCATGTTTTCGATGGCAGCAGACACCCGTTCAAACAAGTCCTCTCCCCATGTCTGTCCTTTCAGAGACTCCATTGTCAAAAACTCCTCCGTTATTTCAAAGGTTTCGTTGATTCCTCGGATAAAAATGAGGAGCTGAGCAGTGTCTTTGACATCATTGCTATCCAGTGCTACAGAATAAAAAGTGAATGACTTCGCCTTTTTGTTTAATATGCTGGTGATATCTTCATCTATTAGTTCTACACGGCGAGTCACTGTCCGCCGTGATAAACTGATTTTCTCAAATTTGTCTTTGGTCTCCGGGCACAAAATACCTGCTGTCTCTACCATACATTCTTTTAAAAACTCGCCCTCTGACAGTGGTTTGCTGGCCTTTGCTATTTTGAATGAAAGCATAAAACTGGCCTTGGTACTTGACTCTTGAATGGCAGTTTGACGGTGAAAAAAACTTTGCTGTGCCTTCAAATTAGCTGCAAACTTCTCAGCCGCAGCTTCCCGTTCTTTTGTTGAGAGCTTGCTAGCATAATTTGCGTGCTTTGTGGCAAAGTGACGGCTAATATTATACTCTTTAAAAACCGCCACAGTTTCTTGGCATATCAGGCAAACAGCAGATGATCGGTGTTCAGTGAGAAAATATTTAGTTGTCCACTCCTTTTTGAACACTCGACATTCTCTGTCCACTTTCCTTTTCTTGGGTCCGCTCATCTTCATAGAGGGGCGGTAGGTCACAGGGTAAAGTGCAAACGTGGAGTAATAGGCCTACGCCGCTTCACCTCAACAAAGCCAATATATCTAGAGTGCGCCATCTAGTGAGAAAACATCAGAATTGCAGGGGAAATAAAACATTAACAAGGTTAATTTATTAAATTTTTTTCAAGTTTGGCGGGCCGGATCAAAACGTTTAACGGGCCGCACGTGGCCCCCGGGCCGTAGTTCGCCCATGCCTGGGCTAGACCGTCCCATTTCACAAGCCTCACACTTCCGGCCTTAGCGGTCTTTGAGTACGCGGCCCTTGAGGACCGTTGAGGCTGCGTACTTTAAGGCTGCAGACCCTGAATTGGGATACAGCCAAGGTTAGTCTGCTGGCGGATCATTCTTTACGGGGCTGTCGGGTTTCGATGCGTGTGTGTTGGTTTCTCATTTTTCCTATAAAGGAAACAAGTAGATACTGAGCCGTCGGTGGGGGTTAGTTTGAACACTAAGTGTTTGCCATGGAGAAGAGGATTTTGTACTGGACGATTCTGTGTATGGGTGAGTATTTTTTTCTTTTAATAAACATCTTTCCTCTGGGCCTCACCGACCTGCCACACCTGTTTGTGCACCGTCAGGGTCGCGTATTAAAAAAGAGGAGCGGGCCCAAGAAGCCCGGAGTCACCATTATTATTGCTGAATGTCTTTTAAAGTACTATTTTTCAGTGCGAGCAAATAAAGTAGAAATGGTTTTCGGAAACCACACAGAATATATCTCTTTCTCTGTCTTTTTCGTTTATCATTTGCATATGAAACTGGCTCCAAAGTTGAGCTGACAGCCAGGAAGTAGTTGTAACATATCCTATGTTTTTTTTTTAAACACAAATGCTCAAGACAATTTCCTACAGTCAGCAGGGGAGTGGGTTGGACCCAAAGAATACAAATGGTTAAATATCAGAACTTACTGTGTTTATAACTGCAAGTGAATAATACTGATCTCTTTGATTTTGTTTTTATGTCCATGACAGTGCTGACAGGTGTCGGTGCCATTGAAGTTACCATGCCCCAAAGTCAGTATGAGTTCGCCAGAGGTGACAACATCACACTGCCCTGCTCCTTTAAATCTGCAATTAACATAAACACTGCCATATATAGTGAATCAAACAGACTACAGTGCTGGACCTAAAAAGTGTTGACAAACTTGTTTCCACTACTATAAATATTTAAAACTGCCGAAGTAGTTGTCATCACATGGACGGCTTTGGCTCTGGAAGCAAATGTCAAAGATGTCGGTATCTACCTTTAATCTTTGTATTTGTGATCAAAAATCATGAGAACATGTCTTTGTGTTTTTATTACTCTTCTAATCCTGTAATTTTCTAACAGACCCCGATCCTCACTTACTACTATCCTATAAAGAAAACTGGCATCACACCCGCCTATAAAGGTCGGGCGTCCCTGGACGTGGATGTCCTGAATGGAAAGGCTAACCTAAAGCTTTCCTCCCTCTCACTAGCTGACAACAAAGAGTTTGAGTGTCATGTGCAGATCCCAGATGACGAAGACGGCACCCAAGCTGCCTCCGCACGCTTGGTGGTTCTAGGTAATATATCACATGTTGTGGGCTTCCTCCTACTGTTCAGAGATGTGACTGTTAAGTTAACTGGAAAGTCTATCTGCTACATGTCAGCCCTGCGCAGGGTGTGACTTGCCTTTTTATCCATTACTACTTAGGAGTTTTATAGCAATTCAGTCAAAGAGAAATCACACTATATTTATATTTCTCTTTTTTTAGTGGCTCCCTCTACGCCCGACTGTAAGATCCAGGGAACAGCACAGTATGGCCAGGATATCACCCCAACCTGTGCATCTGCAGGAGGATCTCCAATGCCCACTTATAGCTGGAAATGTTATTGTGAGCATAATCAGCCTGTTCCTCAAGACCCCCAAACCACTGACAGTAAGTGACACTTTGATCCTTTAAAATCTTTGCTAACAAGAACAAATGTGGACATGATCAGAGCGACACTACGCTTGGTGTAAAAGTGAGCTTTACTTTTGTTTCACAGCCACTGTTTGGTATTTAATATCAAAACATATTAAACATGATGAAAGTGAAAGAAAGTGAGCAGTCAGATGGGCAATGTCACTCTTCTCTATCACAGCCTGTATTAATTTATTGTATCAAATTTGTTGTATATCAAACCACATTTTTTGTGTTTCAGAGGACGGCATCCTGTCACTGTACAATATCTCCAAAGATACATCAGGATTCTACATCTGCACCTCACAGAACAAGCTCCGCGCTGCTACCTGCAACCTCACCCTCTCGCTCATGCCACGTAAGAGAAACATTTTTTTTCATAGAGAAAATTGCACAGAAAATTATCATGATACATACCCCTGTTGTTCCCCCTGTTAACTTGTCTGTCTTCAACCCTGCAGCATCCATGAATGCTATTACCACTGGAGGAATAATAGGCAGAGTTCTTGCTTACCTGATCTTTCTCATCATCATCATCATCATCTTCTTCTTTTGCCAAAATAAATAGCAATGAGAAGAATTACACTGCAGGGTAATGTTCCTCGTTCTGGAAGATTCAAGCATTTTTTAAATCATTTTTTATGAGATGACCGGGAGAAAGAAGACACTTCAGGATCCTTTTCAGAGGAGCAGGGACATTCGGTGCATTTCTCCCCCCTCTTCTTTCTTACCCCCACCCCCCAAAAAAAATTTTTTTTTTTAAAAAGTCACATATTTGTCTTATGATGCCTTTACTGCAACCAGACCAGAGTCTACACACATATTTGATGAATATTTCTTTTCCAAGCTGTACAGAAAGAGGACAATGCGACCAACACTGTGTCATTTCTCTATATATGAGGTTTGTTCTTTTCTTGTAATTAAGGAATTTATTACTATCACACAATTTTACCACTAGCCTATTTAATTCTTTCTGTGTGATCTTTCTGTACATGCATTAGGTTTATTTGTGAACTGTGTACAACTGTGACTTCGCTGCCGTTCACTCTGGGTTGGTCACATTCTGATGTGAGTCATTGCTCGATTGCGTAAAGGCAGAAACATCGACTACCTTCAGTTTTCTATCAAGTGCTTTCTGTTTCTGTATTTTAAAAAAACCACAGTATTAGGGAAACAAAAATTAGAACTTCCACTTTTCTTTGACTGTATGAATTTCAGGACTCAATCGTGGTTAGCTGCTGCTAACTGCATGGATTTTGTTTTCTGATTACTTCATCCCAAGAGCATCAGGAGAGTGACCAGATACACGAAATGGTTATTACTGTCAGCCAAAGTACTCTCACTAACAATTTATCCCCTGAATTATATTTGCATATGTTTACGCACAAGTTGGGGAAGCAGTGTATAGTAGTAAAACAACTGTCTGACTGTGCAATTGCATTAGGCTTTCCAATGAAGTGTTTGCAACATCTATGTGGTTTTCGTTTTTATGAAATAAATTTAAAGAAGTGGAAAGTGTGAGGGTGGCTGTTCAAAAGGAAGATGGATCGATTGACAGACGGACCTCACCTAGACTTATGCATTTCAAATCGGTGTGTTTGCATGCTGATGAGAAGCTGGTCTACTTGCTGATGCTGAGCTAGCTTTTTTATTTACATTTATTCCTTTACTTACTTGTTTACTGCTTTAATACCACAGTGTGGGACTAATATGGCTTTAAAATGTAAAATCAAGTGATTGAGATCTCCTGTGTGACATTTTTACTCCGGAGTGTGATTTTTCTTGTTATAGTACTTTGCACTGTAAGAAGTGACAGTCTTATGTAGTCTGTGGTGTGATGGCTGTGTGTATTTTAGCACATATCTAACCACTTGTTTTCCTGTTAGCGGCACCCACCTTCTATGTGCAGGTCTTCACATCTGCAGCTGTGTAACTGCTGGATAGACATGTTGCAGCAGCCAATGGCTATTGAAGTCCCTGATAGTGTCTCCTCATTTTCCTCCTGTCTGTCCAGAGCTCCTGGGTTTCTAATTATGCTTTTCTAACACACATTTGCACATTATCTGTAAGTCCATGTAAATTTGTGCAATCGTATTGATTTAAGAATCTGATTATGGTCAGCACTAAGGCATCAAAATCCTGTTTTGCAGTTATGCTTAATCTGTATGTTACTGTTACTGTATGTTTTTTAGTTTAGTTTTTTTTTTTTTTTTTTTGGGGGGGGGGGGGGGGGTTGTACTATATTTTACTCAATTTTGACTCTTCTACTTTTCTTTTTACTGCACTATACTGCTTGTAACAGGTGCGGCCCTTAGCGGCTGGAAACACAGTGAGATGGACCAAGGCAAGTGTAGTGGAACAAAGTATTTATTTGCTATACAGCTCTCCTTACAACAATTAATTTGTCAAGCTTCTTCACAGCACAAAAATCCACACTCTAATGACAACTGGCAGCCTTAAATATGTTCAGCTGTCACAGACTTACCCATTCTTCCACTCTCAGGTAAATTCTTAAATCCAACCTTCCACCACAGTATACAATATATCAATAAAAATAAATAAATACATTTCCACATTTACATATTAATAAATATTTCACACTTTAATGTTACACCAAACCCAATATTATAAAAACCCAGAAACCCAAGCACAAAAAGATTCACCACACTCTCTTTACCAATGGTCTCTCCCGGAACCTTTAAATGGTGTCTGGACCCCCAGGGAAACATTTGCCCAAACACCTTGAAGAGGACACAGGCAAGAAAGGTGAGTAATCATTATCTTACACTTATTTGCACCACTTTTATCCCTAGATTTCACACACACATTTGCATTCGTTTTCCTTACTGGTAAACCTTAATCAAAATCTCAATCACCATTCTTTTCTCCTGACAGCAGCTGTGCAGGATCTGAAATAAGGCTACCAACTGATTTTAAAATTCCCAATAAATAGTCAATAAATATTTAAACTACTTGTGTGCAAATCCATGCTTAAAGTGCAATGCTAAATAAAGTGCTTGATAAGGTGCTTTTAATAAAGTGAAAGGTGTGCTCTAAAGTGCTATACAGATAATATAATATAAATAAATTTAGTAAGGGAGTCCTCTTCCTTACACTGCTGAATGACTGTCTTCATTGCAGTGTTGACCCTAACTTGCATATGACAAATAAAAGTGAAACTGAGCTGAAATACATTTCTAATCACACATGAATACAAAGACATGGCTGTATCTTATATAAAACTATATACAGACTCATAAAAGATAAGCATGCACTTCAGCATCTACTGATCACTTATAAATACAGTAAGCTAACTTTCCCTTGGTGACAGAGCAGTGACCTATGCCTGGTGCACTCGTGGCACAATCTGCTGGTGATCCTGTGTTTGACATGAAGACATCCCACTGTGAGCACATGGAGTGATGTGCTTAACAAATAAAATGCACAACAATGTTGTAGTAAAATATAAAAGAGAAAAAATACAACAAGTCAAGAAAGAAGTATTAAAACAGCAACAAAAACTAAGGTTGTTAAAACCAAAATATTTAGGTTGATGTGTGCTAAAAGGCACACCATAAAAATGTGTCTTTAGTAACAATTTAAAATGTTTGAGCATTTGTGCAGATCTAATATTAAGAGGCAGACTATTCCAGAATCTGGGACTTGCCACAGAGAAGGGTCTGTCGCCACGAGATTTAAGTTTAGTCTGTGGAATAGATAAGGTTAGTTTTAACCAGAACCTCGTGGTTCTATCTGGAGCGTAAATAAAAAGGAGCTCAGACTGTTTAGTGATTTAAAAACAAAATGAAAAATTTTAAATAGGATCCTGTAAGAAACAGGCAGCCAGTGTAGACAGGCCAAAACTGGGATAATATGCTCCTTCTGTTTTGTACCAGCTAGCAGATGAACAGTTGCATTTTGGACCAACTGGAGACGATAGATAGAAGCCTGATTCAAACCAAAAATATAGAGAATTGCAGTAGTCCAGTCTGCAAGTAATAAAAAGATGAATAACATGTTCAAAGACATTAGCTGGAAGGTATGGCTTAACCTTGGCTAGCTGTCTCACATGAAAAAAGCTGGATTGGATTACTAGGTTCAGCTGCCTACACAGTTTAAAGGAACCTTCGAGGTACGCACTGAGGTCTTTTACATTTGACTTACAGTAGGAAGATAAGGGGCCCAGAGCACTGTCACTGTGTTTATTAACAATGTTGCCAAAAATGACAACTTCTGTTTTGTTTTTAATTCATTTAAAAAAATGTAAAGCCATCCAATGTTTAAAGTCATCAAGGCAACGTAATAACAGCTGAAGTGGGTCTGTCCCTGCTTTTAAAGTCAGATCTGCAAGTCATCTGCAAAACAGTGAAATGAAAGGTTGTACCATGAAAAAACAGAGCCCAGAGGCAACATATACAGTGCAAACAGGGCAGGACCATGATTAAGAGGGGCTATTTTGGAGCTGTGGAGGCCCATGTTGTCATAAAAAGTCCTTCCAGATAAGTAGGGCCGAAACCCCTGGGGAGCAGACCCTTTTAGCCTAGCATACTCCAGCCATGATAGCAGGATTTCATGGTCGACCATGACAGAGGCTGCTGTCAGGTCCAACAACAAGAGGGCAGCAGAGCTGCCAGAATCCAGAGTTAAGAGAAAATAATTAAAAACCCTTAAAAGTGCTGTCTCAGTGCTGTGTAGTGATTTAAAACCAGACTGAAGCTTTTCAGAGATCAAGGTGTGTGGTATCGCAAGAAATTAGTTGGTTATATAAATATATGACTATGCATAATAGTTATTATTCATAGATACCTACATCCTAAGTTCCTGTTATTCATCTGAAAGAAACAGAATGAGTGTGTCGTTACAATGATAATGCCAGGAGAGGCAGTATAGGTTCTGTGTTACATTTATGTTGTAAGAAAGTGGGAGAAGAGCGTGTCCTGTAGGAGGCAGAAAAAATGGACACTGATGTTCTGAACATGACGGTTCAGTAAACAAGTTGCAACCATACTCCATTGTAAGGCTCAGTTATTTTATTTTTATTTTTTGAAGATGCAACAAGGTGATTAATCAATCTTGATTAAGATCAAGGTGCCTGCAACTGTAAATAGATCACTTTCTCCCGAACTTTTGAGAGAAAGGGGGGTTTCGAAACTGACCTGTAATTAGCCAGAACAGTTGGGTCCAGGCTGTGTTTTTAAGAAGAGAAATATAGCCTACTTAAAACATGACAGGACACACCTGTACCAAGGGAGGTGTTAATGAATTTCTTGTTTTTAATTCATTTTTAATTAATCTGTTAATTAATTAAAGGATTTAAAAGTACAATATAAACCAGCTGAGTAGTTTATCTCCCTATGTAGTGCTAACAATAATTAAAATATATCAGCGATAACAAAGTTGGGGAGTTTGAAGGGTGAAAGGGGGTTGATTAAGGAATCATGGCCGAGAGAAACACACATGGAGCGCTGTAGTAGGATGAATACATTAATGAATAAAACAATACCTTTGATTTCTAAACACTAGATGGCAACATAGAACCTCCCAAAAAGCTGTGTTCATCAGCTGATAACCAAAACAACCTGCACTTCCGTTGTTATCATTAAAGTGATTACTGAGCTTTTAACTAAGGGTGGGAAAGGGTGACATCTTTTCAACAGCAACTTTAATTTTATTTTACTCACCGTGGTTAAGACTTCACTGCCGCCATCCATTGTTGCAGACGCTGGAAGGTACAACTGGGAGCCTGTGTAAAGCTGCACAACTGATAGTGAATATCAGTTGTGCAGCGCTTTGGGTGCCTTGAAAAGCGCTATATAAATCCAATCCATTATTATTATTATTAATATGGCAACATTTGAACTTCAGAATAAAATTACAATCGGTCAGTGGTGAAAATCTTCCCTCAGTAACATCTGAGAAGCCATGGAGGTGATCTGCTTTTTTATCTCAACACGTTTTACTTCAAAATCTCACAATATAAAACCGTTACAGGATATTAGATATTAAAAATATTGAGTGATTACAATACAACACCAGAATAATATATTTTGAAAAAGGTGGTTACTACTGAATATTTTGAATATTTATTATTATTTTTACATGACCTAAATACTGAGTGGAGTTTGGAACTTTGTCTGCAGTCGGTGAATAAATGTATAATGAACTGAAAATCTTGTCTAAAGTTAATGTAATGTAAATTTGTATTTATATAGTCATATAGAATGCTCTCCATGACACCCTGAGTAAACTAAAATAAATACACTACCGAAAAATGTTGGTTTATCTGGGCTTTTATTTTTCGAAAGCAGTTGCCGGAAGTCGTCTTATTTTGATAAACTTGCCGGAGGTCCCGCTTTTGTGGAGACGCCGTCCCGTTAAGTGCCAGTTAACTGGAGCCTGGATACGGATCAGGGGCAGGAAGGAGGCGAAGAGAAGGCGGCACTGGTCAGAAAACAGTTACGAAATTCAAGTCCAAGATTTGGAATATGTTGTCCTCCCATAAGTGCTGGATTGTTGCTGTTTTTCTGGCAGGTAAGAAAGAGGAGCATTAAAAAATTCCAATGTGATTCCCGTGCGTGTACAGCGCTGCAACAGGTTGTTAAACTGAGATTGGAGTAACGGTAACGTAGTCTTTGTGGATAAGTAAGGTGCCCTGCCTACTTTGTGGGATAATGACTCTATGTAGTGGGGGAGAATAAAGCATTTAGATGCAAACATTTCCCCTCACTTTAATAGTCACATCAGTTAACCTTTAACTTGGGTTTTAATGCTTGTAGGTCCGCTGAGCTAGCTGAGCTGCAGTCGACTGTTTGTGGGCTTCAGTCATGTGTGAATGATCCGACCAGAAGCTTTAAAGGAGGCTGTGGATTAGGAGGTCTAACATCAGACACGTTTACTGGGTCTAAATGAGAGAGAGAGAGAAATCCCTACAATACTTAAAAAAACAAACAACAAGTAAAAATGTTTACAAATGACAAGTAAAACTAGAAAACTGCAGTTCATCATTTTTATTTATGTCCTGATCCATGCAAAGTGACTGTAATTAGGAGTATGTGGAATATTCCATAAAACACCTACATTCTTTGTTACAGTTTATGTAACATGTTTATGAAATTTATAGTGCTATATAGACACACTGGAGCTGCCAGCTATAAGTAAATGTTATGTGCTTTAAAGTTGTTTTTTAAAGTGCTTTCTTTAATCAAACCGACATATATATTAATTATATTAATTAGGGGTACCAACATTATTGACTATGACTGAAGAACAGCTCTGAAAGAGTAATGGCAAATCATTTAAGAAGCAGATTTACAGATTTTTAAGTGCCACATGTTTTCATCCGATTCTTTTCACATGAAGGCAACACGTTTGACCGACAGCAGGACAAAACATTTGCTAGCCACTCCCATCTCCTCAGTACTAATATCCAAAACACAGAGCCCCTCCTCTGACTTTTATTTTCTCATCTGGAACAAGAACGGCTCTGAAAACTTAATAAAGCCAGGATGGCCCCACAGTCTGTGATCCCGGAAAGAGCTGACTTGTGGGTTTGTTTGTTTTTGGGCTCCAGTTCTTAGAAATCAGAGTGAGGTTCCCACCTGAGGAATTTATGTTTCAGCAGACTTTAGTTTGAGTCAATTCATTGCTTCATTTATTTATAAAAACCTAAGACTTTTACCTGAAAATATGAGCTGATGATACTAATAATAAAAATAAATTAGAGGACAACTTCAAATATTCAGTGTACAGGTATTTAAAACAAAGAAAATAATCATTTTAAATCTGATAAACCAGAATATCTTTCGCATAATTGAATTAATGGTAAATACATGTAAATAATGTGTCATTTGATTTTTGGTTGATCAGCTAACCAAGTGGTCCCCAAGCATTTTGCAGCATGCTGAACTTCTGAATCCAAAAAAGTCCATATCAGTCAGCTGACTAATTGTTCCTGTTGTACTAAATAATGTAAAGTAATGAAAATAATGTAAATAAATTGTACTAAGCCATTGTTTAACATTAGAAATCTCAAAGTTCTCCAAAACCACAGTAGATAAATCAAATCAATATTTGGTGTGACCTCCCTTTGCCTATAAAACAGCATCAGTTCTACGTACACTTGCACACAGTTTTTGAAGCAACTTGGCTGGTAGGTTGCTCCAAACATTTTGGACTAACCACAGATCTTCTGTGGATGCAGATACACGAAGAGACATCCTTCTGTCTCTTCATGTAATCCCAGACACACTCAATGGTGTTGAGATCAGGGCTCTGAAGGGGCCATACCATCATTTCCAGCACTTCTTGTTCTTCTTGACGCTGAAGATAGTTCTTAATGACTTTGGCTGAATGTTTGAGGTCGTGGTCCTGCTGCAGAATACATTTGGGGCCAATGAACAAAAATGTATATTTCTGAAAGCATTCTTTGTTTACAGCATTTTTTCACACCTGCCTAAAACTTTGCGCAGTACTAATAGATTATTCTGTTGTATTCTCTTCCAAACTGAGCGATCTTTACACACAACAGCTTTCACAAGGGTGGTATGCTTTAATTGAGCTTCAAAAGATATATGTGGGTATGTTGGAACTCTGGTATAATATGAACATTTGTGTAGTGTTTCTGTTGCAGTTGTTACACTGCTAGTAAACACAACACCGCGCTTGCCCTTGCTGTAGCTTGTTGCATTTTGGATAAATTCACTCAGCTCTCTCCCTCAGGAGTGGGCATGCTTCATTCTCAGTAACAGAATGAAAATAAAAGGGCCTGGTCTTGATTAAGCCAAGTCCCCTCCCTCTTCATTCCTACCTCTGCCCTTCTTCGCCGTTCCAGTCCTCCCACAGCTTGGCTTGACACATATACACAAATGCGCACATATGTTCCTGGGCGTGTGTGTGTGTGTGTGTGTGTGTGTGTGTGTGTTTTATTTCACATGACTACCTCTCCTGTGTAATGTTGTTAGTGGACTGTCGATCCCAGGCCCACCTTCATCATGTGACCCTGAGTAGCACAGCTTCAGATGCCCCACAGCAACATCAGGCCAGCTCAGAGTCAGATTTCACTGAGCTGAAGCAACTCAAACCAACACACACGCTGCTTCATTTCATTACAGCTAAAGGAGGAAAGAATTCTTGGGAATTCTTTTAAGTCTGCTGGTATATCTAGATGACGTCATTCACCATCCTCTGGTAGCATGTTTTTCAGATATTTTTAAACTCTGCAAACAGGAGCAGGTGTCTCTTCAGGGCTCTATTCAGTATCTGAATCATTGTGTTGCTGTCTGCAGTGGTATTCCTAAAATAGTGAGGAGGAAAAACTATCTTTTAACAGAAGAATCCTCTAGCAGACCCAGGCTCAGGGTTCCATTTGCCATGGCTGACAGAGTAAATTGGACAAAATGTAACAACATTGTAGTAGCACACTGGGGGAGTGAAACGAGGTGAGTGGAGAAGAAGTGCTTAGTGGTCTCACGTGAATTCCCACATTACAGCCTAAAGCAGAGGGAGCGTCTTCCTTCTGAATCCAAACCGGGAGCTGCTCTGCAGAGAGCTGTCAATGGATTGTTTTGAAGAACATCTCTCACACTTTACTAAGCCTTCATCATCTTCTCCCACAGGTGTCTTACCTCCATCCAGCTCCGGCGTCCAAGTGTTTGTGAGAGACGAGAAGAAGTATGCTGTGCTGTTCCAGTCAGTGGTTCTGCCGTGCCAGTACACCACCGTGTCCTACCAAACCGCCGTGGTGCAGTGGGTCTACAAGTCGTACTGTCGTGACCGCACCAGGGATTCATTTAGCTTTCCCGACAACTTGGGCGGAGGTCTGGGTGGAGGAGGGCTGACAAGCGGAACGGGAGGAATCAGCAGAGGGTACGAGAAGGGGATGACAGCCAGCTACCTCGACTGCTCTGACAACAGTCGGACCGTCCGAACTGTGGCTTCCATCTCTGGTTCCTCAGTCACATTGTCAGAGTACTACAAGAACAGAGACATCTCCATCATTAACAGTAAGCGTCTGTGGCACTACCTATGGTTGTGTTTTATTTTCTAAGATACATTCAGGTCATACAGCAGCACTTTTTTGTGGCATAACAGGCTGAAATTGAGCTCACCAGCATTATAAAAGGAATTACAGCACGCTTGCTTGCAATTGGCAAGGGCTGCAAAGGTAAAATAATGTCTGAACAATATTTTCAGCATCACAGATTTCCCTCAGTGCATTGATTCAGTCTTATGTTCTTCTTTCTTGTTTTGCCAAGCCTGGCAAGGTTCATAAAACCCACAGCTTGGGCACAGGCTCACCTTTCTCCCAGATTCCTTAATACCTAAATATCCAAAAGGAACAAGTCAGATGCTGCAACATGTGGAGTCTATTAACCTGTTGCTAAAATCGGCATACTTTTTAACACTTTCAGTTGTTCTGAGTGTGAATACTTTTTCAAAACCATCTTTTCAGAGATCAGCAGAGACGTAAAATACATATATAAATATCTGAACGCCGTGTATACAGGATTGTGTGTAGTTGTGTGTGCCTGTATGTGTGTGTTCTTGTTGAATACAGAGAGGTAGTCTTGTGTGCCAGCCTCAGATTTATGAAGCTTCTTGAAGAACTGGCCTTCTCTTCACTAGCCAGGGCTGCAGACAAAAGAAATGGTTTTCACGCTGTTCACTTATTCACTCTGACCTCTGACTCCTCCCTCTGATGTACCTCAATGTCCCGCTTTTAGTTTCACTCTCTTGATCACTGGACATCCCACCCTACCAACAGTCACTTCTCTCAGTGTAAGGCTCTTTGAGTTCTCTTCTTCTCTTCTTGCCTCTTTCTGTCCCCACTCCACCTCCTATAACGAAACAGGTCAGTGTTGTAAATGGACAAAAAAAGTGAAAAATTTCAACCTTGTTGCCTTTGGAGACGCCCAGTCATCCATTCCCATGTAATCCTATTCAGGGTCCCAGGGAGGTTGGAGTCTGTGCCAGCATGAACTGGGTAGGGGGTGTTCTGCTAACTAAATGGCGTACATGGTACGCACACAGTCTAAAGGAAATTATAACATACTCTGAAGACAGCAAGAATTAAAAGAAAAGAAAAGGAGATGTAGTTTTAAATGAAAAAAAGTAGTATTAAGTAGTAAAAGTGGATTGTATTCCAGACTGGTGGCAGCTTGTCTCTCCTCCCCTTCCTCAGTTAGCAGGAAAAGGAAGTGAATTATACAACCCATTTCCTGTCTGTATTTATATGTCAACCTCCTCACAATAGAATCATTGGACCAACATTGTCTTTTATTTTGACTCCTGAGCCAAATGGAGCAAAGTCTGCAAGCTAGTCATGTTTATGCACATGGCTCTCCCTCTTTACATCATATCACCATCATATTACATCTTACACCAAACCCGCCCTCTTATTTGGTGTTCTAGCTAAGCTCCGTGATTTTCCTCAACTGTGACAATGGACAATGACATGTTCCTTTTATCACTAGATTTCTATATGTAACATACAATCACTGTTTTTTTTATTAGGTACACCTTGCTGTGCTGGGTTGGACCCACTTTGCCTTAATTCTTTGTGGCATAGATTCAGCAGGTTTCTAGAAACATCTCCCATTCCACTGAATTGAGATCTGGTGACTGTGGAGGCCATTGTCATGTTTAAGAAACCACTTATTATATATTTGAGCTTGTTGACATGGTACATCATCCTGCGGGAAACAGCCATCAGAAGATGGGTACATTGTAGTCATAAATGGTCAGCAGCAATACTCATGTTGGCTGTGGGGTTTAAATAATGCTTGGGTGGTACTGAGGGGCCCAAAGTGTGCCAAGAAAACATCCCCATATCATTATACCATTACCACCAACCTGTACTGTAATATATCTATATATACAGTATTATAGATATCTGTATACCTATATTATTGCTAATATATATTTGTGATATATCTATAGTATGGCTAAAGCTTCTGGATGGATGCAAACTGCATTTCGTTGCCTTGCACCTGTGACATGTGCAATGACAATAAATTCTATTCTACTGTTGATGCAATCCAGGATGCAGCCATGCAGCAGTGTTGTTTATGCCAAATTGTGATTGCCACCATCTGAATGTGGTAGAGAAATTGACAATAAGCAATCTTTTTCCAATCTTACCGTTCAACTGAATACGCTACGTCCAAATGAACAGAATCAACTTTTTGGGATTTCCTTACCTGGATGATTGAGCATGCATCGAGACATTAAATCACCTCTCTTTCCCACTGAGTTGTCTTCATACCTAAATGCACTGAGCTGCTGCCGTGTTATTGGCTGATTTCTTAGTTTTGTAACAAGAAGTTTAACAGTTCTACAAAATAACGTGGCTAGTGAGTGTAGACGATTAGCTTGGACCTTTAAATCCTAACTGTATTTTGCTCTTTTAATGTGTCAGGGATTTTCAGATATGCTAAATGACATTTTTCTGAATCCTTTCACAGTCATGGAAACATAAAAACAAATAACTTCATACATTATCCTGAGCTCACAGACAATATACTGAAAAACCTAACTAGCCTACACATATCCCTGAACTACTTTGCTACGCAGACTGTGAGACCGGCCTTATTGCCTAACATCAGTGGCCACTTCACTAAGAGACCATTAAGTGGCTGAATGGAAACAAACCTGCTGCCAGGCTCTGAGATCTTATTGAAAGCTTTTCCACAATGGCAGTTAGCCTAATTAATGCTTGTGGTATTCAATGAGATGTTTTATCGGTGTAATGTGTGTAGTACTTTGTATCTGAGTCTTTGAACTTTGTAGAAATGCAAACAAACAGGGAAGATTTATTCAGGGTAATAATTCCAACCATGCATTATTCACGTGCTTTTGAAAGTCATGCTTTTTATTATTATTATTATTTTTGATTCCAGAGTGCCAAAAATTGTAAGACACTCGTTTTTCTTTCAACTCCCCCAATTCAGAGGCTGACCTGAGGATAGGAGAGGTCCAGTGGGGAGACAGTGGAGTATACATCTGCAAAGTGGTCATATCTGATGATCTGGAGGGACAGAACGAAGCGTCTGTGGAGCTTTTGGTTCTTGGTGAGTTGCTTGTAATTTACATGGAATTTTTAAATGAAAGATAAGAACTTGCAGTCAAAACTAAGAAGTGTCATAATTATTGATGTAACCTGCAAATATATGTAGCTTGTAAATCAACTGAAACACTGTGTTAAAAGTCATTGATTTCACAGAAATTTGTACAATGTTAGACTTAAACTAAGTCCTTCAGCGTCACTGTGTGTCTGCACACGTGTGTATTTTGAATGTATCAGTAGGGTGTTGTGTTACAGTAACAGTGTACTTGTCTTTGGTCACTTACATGTTACCAGAGAAACTGTTGAGAGGCTATGTAGCTCTTGGTGCCTTAAAACACTCAGGCTGAACTTTTGTTAGGCTGCCACTCAAAGACTTATGTGTATGCACAAAAGGACACAGTCTCTCTCACACACACTCACACATACACAGAGGTAATCAGCAGTAAGCTTTTACAGTTTCCTCTTGATAGAGTGAATTCCACTCCATAGTTGTGTTACAGGTTCCATAACTGAGTTTTCACCCTGATGTGATAGACCCTAAATCCACCATGGTGCTAAAATGCTATATTTTCTGGTTTTAGTGTAGCTAATATGGCAAGTGAAGCACTTCTTGTGTCTCCATAACAACAGTTGAGGCCACAGTGAATGGCTGAGGGGATCTTTTGTCTTTTGAGCAAATGGGTTCACAGCAAAGAAGACAGGGAAGATTTAATGATGTGGAGGAGGGTCGGCAGAGCACAGTGATAGACAATAGATGAGGGTGATGCTAATGTGGGCCTTTGAGAGCTCAATCCTGCAGCCGAACAGTCTGGTTTTAAATTTACAGTCAGAATACTGATACAAAATTTTCATTAAAAAACAAAATGCACAGAGAGAAAATAATTCAACAATTTTCTGCTGCTTTTCTGGGTCAGCTAGACTTGCCTCTTTTGGTCAAGCTCTGCTAGTCCACGTTTCTCATGTGGTCTCTTTTGGGACTTTGATATTGGTTTCATTTTTCAGTTCCAGATGTTATCATTGGGCAAGGACGTGTTAGCTAACATTAGCTAACATCTGAATTAAAATATTGTGTTGATATTTGTAGTTTTCCCCCTTCAGATACATTTTGACCAGACAGGTTTCATTAGATAATACAGGCTTTTCTGACTAGTGTTGGCTTACCCGCTAACACAGATAAATTCTCTGATACCCACAGCCGGCTTGCTCACTAACGTTGTTGCTGGCAATCCACTATCTAAAGCCATGCCAGTACTACTTTTGTCATTTTTTTCTAAAGAATTTGTGTTGTACTGGGAATCAACCACTTCACTGATTAGTGAACTCTATTTTAGAACTGCTGTCAGCTTAAGACCAGCAGAGAAGGAACGAGGTGAGACACTGGGTATAAAGTATAAGTGTCACATGGTTGGATTTTTGCACAAAGTCCGGCCTCCATCCTTAAAAAAGAAATCAGTCCATAGACTATAAAAGGCAACTGAGAGGGTTAGGAAAGGTAGATATACAGTCTATTTGGATATTTACAAAAATAGCATCTAAGAAATTCACAGTGCACATTTACGATGGAGTATTAGGTCACATTAGAAAAAAAAAAAAGGAAAATCTATTTTGAGAAAAAAGTCGAGATGTGAAGATTACAGTTGTTGTTTCAAGACAAACTGCTGCGGTTGCTATACCCGCTGAGTTGGTGAAATCGTACTTCAGAATTGGTTTCAGTAAAAGGAAGGAAAGAATTTCTCTTTTACCTCATAAACACAGTGTGATGATCAGTATAAGGACATTGAAAAGATGATCAGTAATATATTTATTTTTCTTAATCTGGTCCTAATACTTATTGATACATATTTAATGGCCTAAAATGCAAAGATTTGAATTATTTTATTGTATCTAGTTTATACATGTTAATGGAAAATTCTAGATACATGGTTAGTGTGATAGACTGATCTCTTGAAACTGTTCAGACAAGTTTGATTTAACTCTGACTATAAGCCTACAGGAAGGAAGGGCTCAATATTGTCTGGTTTTAGTGTGTGAAAACAGCCCCAACATATAGTCTCACTTTCCCCATACATTTAATCTCTGAAGGAGATGTATATATGGCTTTGTTAAACGGCACCTATCAGGATCGCATGTAGGGTCAAGTATGCAATCCCTGCATATCTGAAAGAAAACCTTGGTTTATCACCAGTCTTCGGGCAAATTCAGGATTTAGTAGAAGCTGGACAAGTGCTATCCTTCAACAGCATGAGAATCACAGAAGACAGCAGCAGATAAAAACAAAAATTGCAGCGGTCTGAAGTAAAGCAATATAAATGTCGACATCGTTTTTAAATGCAATAACCTTAATAGGTTTTTTCTGTTTTCAAATCCAGCAAAGAACATGTATAGCCTACTAGAAAGATATTAAATAAGGTATGTGCACTGTCAGCTAGAATCAGGCCAAAGTAGTCCAGCTTGCACCCTTTCCAAACTGTTTTTTTATACTTACCACTCCTTTCCTCTCTTTGCCAGAATGACACACTCAGCAGCAAAATACCAGTGCTTGTTTGTATCACACACTCATATGCTGGCTTTTTCACTTGCGCACCCAAACCAAACACATTCACACACATTTCTGCACCAGCTCGTGACACAGTTCCTCTCATGTAACATGTTGTATTCAGACATTTGTTTGACTTCTTCTTTAAAAATGTGTTAAGGAACATTTGAGAAATTTAAAAAACAACTAGTAAACTAGTATTTATTTTTTATCTTGATATGACTTTGAGTGACTGAATGTAGTGTAAAGCGCTTTGGGGTCCTTAGGGACTGACTAAAGCGCTATACAAATGCAGGCCATTTACCATTTACTTTAATCTGTCTAACCCTAAATTTAGGGTTAGACAGATTAAAATGATCTAAAATCGATTCAGTGCAATTCAATTTTATTTGTATAGCACCAAATCACAGCAATAGACATGACAAGGTGCTTTACATTGTAAGATCCCTACAATAAATTGAAGAGAAACCCACCTCAAATGACCCCTTGTGAGCAAGTACTTGGCGACAGTGGGAAGAAAAAAAACCCTTTTAACAGGAAGAAAACGCCAGTGGGACCAGGCTCAGGGTAGGCAGCCATCTGCTGTGACTGGTTGGGGGTGAGGGGAGGAAGACAAAAGGCACAAACTCTATATGTAATATTATCGACAACACATCAGCCTTAACATGCATCACCAAGCACACTGCCATTTTAGTGGAAAACATTAAATTAAATAAAGAGTAAAATTGTGCAGTTAGGCATCTAACATATGTCTTTATTTCACCCCAATAAACAGTGCTAATAAAGCTGGCCTGGGATTAATGTAATTATTAAGTTCTTGGAAGAAAACTTTTGCTTAATAGGTAAATTGTTTCCAAAATGTTACAAACAACATAAGAAAAGTAACTGTATAAATAGGAATCAGTAAAAGAAGAGCCATCTGGAGTTCAGATTTTAGACGACATTTTTAGTGTTTTTTGCTGTAGCAGCGACCTCAACAGCCAATCTTCACCATTTGGTTGACCTGAATAGTTGGAGTAGTTTGGCATTTCAGGAAATACTTCAATATTTCAGGTGCATCTTTCAACACTATGAATGAAGTTATTTATAGTTCTTGAAGCTAAAAGCTACGTGATACACTTGACCTTTCTCTAGTAACTTTTGTCGGCTTCTATAAAAACAAAGTCTCATTGACTTGGCAGCTATAGTGATGAGACTCGTTCAAACTCCAGTCTGTTTTCGTTTTTTTCAGCAGTCAGACAATCAATCTTCTAATCAGTTGATTTGAAATGTTTCTAGAGCAGGGACCATAAACTGTACGCCGAGGGCCACATACAGCCCACTTTGATCTTAAGTGTGTCAGATCAGTAAAACTTCCATTTCTGTCAGTGTAAAGATGCTTAACTACATATTTAATCCCTGAGATCTAAGAAAAAGACATGTCATTTTAATAGTAAATCTCAGCTTTTCACCATAACAATAAATGCTGGTGATGTGTAACAAAGTTAAAGCTCTGGTAGCTCTTTTCTGTCATTTAATTGTTTATCTTTGCTACTTTGGTGTGATATGAAAAGCCGTGGGGAAAGTTTATATCACTAATAGAGGCTGTAAAACATTAAAAATACAGTTTAAAGTAAAAGATTTGGATCTTCCTTCCTATTTTCGAAAGTTGTCTCATGGACTGGATTGTTGTCTCTGCCAGACCAATTCAGACCCCTAGGCCTTATGTTTGACACCCCTGTTCCAGTGAAAAACCGCAATGTCCTCTCATGCATGCTGTTTATCTGTCTATTTTCATTCCTTCTTCGTATTTTGCTCTGTCTTTCTCTTAAATCACTTTTAATGCATGCATGCCGCTACTGCAATAACTTTCTTTGAATCAGTCATTTCAGTTTATATCAACTCCATTGCTTCTCCTCTCTCTTTTCCAATCTCCTCTCGTCCACTGTGCTCTCTCTCCAGGTTTCTCAGGTGTTCCTGAAGACCTCCTGCCAGACTTTGATTTGAAGATAATGCCAGGTAGGGGCTTAGTGCATTCCCCCCCTGCACCTGCTTTCTTTCATTCATACTAACACTGCTGACTGCTCAGACTATGAATATAGGAACTATGTAGATGGGTTTAAGAATAAAAAAAGATCACTTTTTACACCATGTTCAGTGGTTCCTGTGCTAATATTGCCTGTAACACTGTCTAACCCAGTGACTGTTTTCTACAGTCAGTGGTCTAACCTGTTCTTCACCCACAACATCTAATAATGCAGTAAGTGCTGGTGATTCACCTTCTTTTAACTCAGAGACTCATCCACACCCATCAAGTAATGAGCTGGTCATTGCTCCCACTAAGATGAGCTGCTCTGGAAAACAGCTATTATGGTCATTAAAGTTATTTATGGTTGTGGTCAGCAAGTATTCCCACACCATTCGGATAATATCCAGTCAAAAACACAGTAATCTAAAGGAGAGGAGGGCTTTATGATGCATCGGATTCTTTTGTATAAATGTATAAATGTGCAGATTGTATGGAAGCAACTCCCAGCATGACTTGCTGTCCACGATGACTCCCACAGTGTGCGTGTGTGTATCTGTGCGTGTGTTAAGGAGTCATTACGGTTCCAAACGATATCACATAACAAGCAATTTGGTGGTAGCAGCCAAGCGTTCAGTAAACTGTCCTTTTCCTTCCTGTAGCAAAAACAGGTTTCCTGCACATGAGTGTGTGTTTTCTTCTGGTGTCCTTTAGTTTGTTTGTATGAGAGAAAACATCTTTAGTTTTATATTGTTAAAGACTTCCTTATCTGCGCTCGCCTTCCCTTTCCTTTGCCTTCCCCCCAGACAGATACATGTAGGTTATCTCTTGTACTCACTTTATCCTTCTCTCCAAAGCTGTGGTATTTAATAACAGTTTGTACAATCATTCCTTTTTCCTGTAACTCATATTCCAACTAAGATGTCATTTGTTCCCATTTTCCTATCCAAAAACAACCCGACAAGGTTAATAAGTGCAAGAAAATCTACGAAATCTACGAGGGGACATAAACTTGCAGCTTTCCAGCCTTTTGTTCCTTTGTGATGTCCCAGCGCGCTCCAGTTCACTTTTCCTTTTTCCTGCTTTGACAGGAAATACATCACATTAAAAAAATGGTAGAATTAAATCAGGCTACACACAAAGTCATAGATGTCAGTGTTTTACCTTATAGAGAAATGCTGCTTTAGTGATTAAAATAAATCTGTTAGCATGACTCCTTGGCCTGCAGTTGTGATGAATAAAAGTGTTAAATAAAATAAAAGTTCTGAATCTTCTGGTAGCTCACTGGTCAGACTGTCCTGTAATTATAAAACAGAGTTCTGTTAATTCACAACAAATGTTTTTGTCTTACCGAACAAACCTCCCCTGCCATTTCTAGATGCAAAGTAAGTAGATACTAAAAAAACAAAACCCTTTCTGTCATTTAATTGTTTTTCTGTTACTTAGTTACTTTGGTGAAGTATGAATGTAGCCAAAGCTGAGCTAAGAAAACAGTTGAAAGTCCAATATGTATGCTCTCTTTCACATTTACCAAAGCCATGCACTGGGGCTGGATTGGAGCCTGTGCTGAGCCTATTTTAGTCCCTACCTTTTTTGACACCCCTGCTTTAGAGATTATATAAACACGGATGAAGAATAAAGGTTGCTGCTGATAATAACATTTTTAGCCTTCAGTTTCTCTCAGCGTTACATTTTACGGCCATTGTGTTTATGAGCAGGTTGCTTGAACTGTTTTACACTACTTTTTCATTTTTAAAGGTTTTTTGTGTTTTGTTTTTACTCATTATTTTTCACGTGGCATTCTCAGAATACAGTATGGCTCCAGAATGATCAAATGAACCTGATCCTGTATCAGTATGCTGAGTAGGACATACGTATTTATTTATGTGCAGGATTTTGTGCTGTGTGTGCTTGCAGAGTGGGTGTTTGTGGTGGCAGTGGCACTTGGCAGTGTGTTATTCCTGCTCTTGATTGGAGTTTGTTGGTGTCAGTGTTGCCCTCACTCCTGCTGCTGCTACGTCAGCTGCTGGTGCTGCCCCGACACGTGCTGCTGCCCCAGACACTGTGAGTATGAACATACACTCAGAAATGCACAGGTTTGTGCTCGGAGAACTGACGCATGTCTGAACGAGATTATATTTTGCTTTTTTCCCCCTTCTTCTTCTTCTTCTTCTTTTTTTCTTTAAGTGTATGAGGCAGGAAAAGGTATAAAGACAACCACCTCCTCACCTCAGACACCTCCCTACCCACCGTATTTCGTCTCTGGTGTCCCAACCATGGTCCCAATTGCTCCTCCCTCTCTGGTGGACAAGATATCTTCAGTCCCCGGCTCAGATGGGACCCTACTCACAGCAGGTGGGGACTTACTCCTGATTACCTGATTGCCATGTGTTAACTATATTTTTTGTCATTTGAGCTAGAAAAAAAGGTTAAAAGAAATGTAGTCAGCCCGAATGTCCCTGTGATAAACTATTTGTGATTTGGTAAAGTAGAAAAACACCAGTATGGTCCTCAAACTAATAAAACACACATCCAAGTTCCCTTTCTGATGACTCGAGTGTGTATCTGCAGTGCCCGTGCACGCTGTAGGGGTTCCCTACCGCGTGCCTTCACCTCAGGATCAGGATTCTCTCAGGGTGCTGCAGTATGTAGAGAAGCAGCTGGCTCACTTCAACCCTGCCAGGTCCACCAGCCACCAGTGTAAGCCTCATAAACCTGCTCTGTGGCTTTACTGTACTACTAAAGTGTTCTGATGCTGTCTGCAGCTTTGGTAGTGTCTTTTATTTGTTTTTGTCTTCTCTTGGCATGACTCCCTGCACTCAGCAAATCTGCCTTCTGAATTTCCTCTAGTCTGGATGTTATCTAGTTGCCGTTTTGCATGCCTACTTCCCTGAAAGTGTATTTTTTTAATGACTCTCACTTCACACTTAAGGCAGCTTCTTTAAAACCTTGATGTTCTTCATCTGCAGGGTCTTGTTCTGGGAGAAGGGCGCTTTTAATTCATTTTTTGGCAGGTGTTACTTATTTGATTAATTCATTAATTTTGTTCTATCTAGCCTGTGCCCTGTCTGAACTGAGCTCCCTCCATGAGGGAGAAAGTGGCTTCCGCCAAACATATCGCAACATCCAGAAGAACGCTCTGCCAGCCATCCCCGATCACGACACTCAGCCTGAACCTCAGCGCTACCGTGAAAACCGCAGTCCGGAGCCACAGAGTTACCGCGATAATCCCCCATTTCCCCACCATTATCATGATGACCCTGACCCAGAGCCTCGCCACGTACGGGACGAGCCTCTTCCTCCGCGCCGATACAGCGATGACCCTCCATCTTCGTCTCAGTCGCGCAGGCCCGGACGGAATCAGCGGCAGCAAAACCACAACAATGAGGAAAACCACAACAGGTGGAGGACTGTCTGAATACACAGAATGCCTTATGCAGAGATACAGGCGTACACTTAACTCATGTCGTATTTTACAGGTGGAACCCTCGCTCTGAACATCTTCAAAGAAAAACATACCGAACTGCAGGGCGAACCGGCTCACTGGACGAGCTGGAGGAGTTTGCTGCTTGTTACAAGCAGAGAGGAGGCAGAGGGGCAGAGAGGAGGGACGAAGAACAGCGAGAGTATGAGATGGAGCATCTGGAGTACAGCCGATACCCTTCTCACCGAGTTGCCCCACCTCAGCATTATCACAGTAATGAAAATGAGGTTGAGGACATCAGCGACCGCGAAGAGCAACCCAGGCGGATCAAGAAAAACAGACATGACATCAGCCCACTACCTTCACCTAAAAAGAGGAGGGACACGTCAGATAGGGAGTGCGCCGTCCCACCTCCTCCCACAGCAGGTCCACCTTCAACTTCTTCTCAAGAGAAGGACTATGATGCTACCTTCCTCAACAGCCTGCTGGAGCGTAAAGCTAAGTTACGAGGGGTTACCCAGGGGAGGACTGGGGCCCGGGGTGATGAAGATTCAGACACACCCTCGAAGAGCAGCCTGAAAAAGAGCAGCGGGGAATCCAGTCGGCACTGCAGTCGCTCACCTAGTAACAGGCCCGACGCAGATTTGCTGCCTCCTCACACGGAGACAGAGCGAGTAAGAACTGACAGGTCGTCACCAGGAAACACTCACTCCCCTCAGCCGCCCGTTCATTCCTTAGCAAGTCACAGAGAAGATCCCAGAAACAAGTCCAGGAAAGTGGTGAGTAACATCGTGAATTACTGGGATTGTATGCAAATTTAAGGATTTAAAGTATAGAGTATATATTCAATATATTTTCTTGGTACTGGTGTGTAATTAATGAAGATACAGACTAGAAAAATGATAACACTAGGCTAGCTTCAAATCACTAAACACCCAGTGCTGTATTTCCCCATTGTTTGAGGGTGTTTCCAATAACGTGCACTTGGCTAGGAGCCCACAAAACTGTTGAGGAACTCATGAGCTTAGAGATCCTGTACAATAGTTTGAGGACAAAGTGTCACGTTAACAAGGGCAGTCGAACACAGCAGCCACTTCATTCTATAGATAAAGAAATAATTGATCATTCTGGTTTTACGGATTAGGTTAAAGTTCTTTTCAGTTTCTAGAAAAAGTGAGCAGAGCTTCATTCTATAGCTATAGCTTTAGCTGCTTATCTTTGGTTAGCATCTTTAACATTTTCAGCTTGGTAAAAGTGAGGGTGTCTCATTCGGTTTGTTGTTACAAACGTTTTCGTGGTGGTTGTCCCCACGGTTTACTTTGGGAAACTTTGTGTCTTCGCTCACAATGAAGAACTCGCTAATAGCCACAACCCCATGCTAGCAAAGTTTGGCTGCTCATAGCATATGGCTGGGAGTATGCTACCAACTATTTGTTCACCCTGCTGTGCGCCTGTTGCATTTGCAGAAAGTCTTGAAATGAGACACACTGTCTGACTCCGGTCCCTGGCTGGTCGATTTCTGCACCTCAAATAAAGCCAACAGTGTCTAAAATATGCAGAAATTGCTAATGTGGACTTGCAACTTTTTAGGCCTCCAAGTTTCCGTGCGACCTGAACTTGAAGAAAGCTCTAGTTGAATTATACACAAAAGCTAATGTATTTTATAATTGAAAATACCTCATATTAAAATGTCTTCTTCAGGGAACTGGCTGGGAAAGAGTTGAAAAAAGGTTTGTAGGCCTGTAGTAAGTGTTGTTGTTGTACCTTTGGCAGGTCAGGTTCAGATGCTACCAGAATGAAAACTAGGTAGAAGATTCTGTTCTATCTCCAACTCCACTATAACAATAATAACTGGTTGTCTCCTTACTCACAAACCTGGGTCAAAATGTTATATTGTGTCAAAGACGTCTTCTACAAAACACATCGATTAAGAAGAGTCAGTGTTTTGACCTCAAGTAAGGTCTTGAAACAAATCTTCAAGTGATCTCACAAAAGAGTTGAAGGCACTTTGTCCCAGGTTCCACTTCACCATAATAACCATGTTTGGCTAATGTCCACTCTCTCTTTACTGCCTCACACTGTTCAATAAGATATGCTGTGTTGTTGCTTTGATCATTTACACTTTTTTTTTTGTCCTCATCAGAGCACTCTCCTCAGCCGAGACTCCCTTATCGTCTGATGGACTTCAGTCTTCAGTACAGACTGAAAGCGTTGTGCAGCCTTGATGCTCTACAAGAACGGCTTGTCAGCTGATAAAAGATGACAAACTTGGATTCATAAAGATAACGTCAAGGACAGCAGACTGTGGGAGAGCTGAATCAGTACTGATGAGTGAAGACAAGGACAGCAGAGGCACCCGAGATTGTTACTCAGCTGCTTGTGATGTCATGGTGAAGTCACTGGCTGTGTGTTATGTGGACTAAGACTGAGCTAATGCGTGCAGGGAGTATGACCTGGACCGTTCCTGCGAGCAGTGTGCTGTTGGTCTCCCCTTGTTCCTGTCAGAAAAGGCTCTGAAGCAGAGAGATTTACGTTACACTTTCAGCACAATGCATGCATTCATTTCCATCTGATGAGTTACGTGAATGAAAAAGAACTGCTGTAGCATGACAACGGTATGACAGCACGGTTGTTGTAAAGGACCGCTGTGTCATTCTGTAGTATATTCAGGGACTAAGGCACCTTAGTCAGAAAGCTTCTGCAGCAGTAATCAGTATTACCAAATGTTTACGCTTATTTATTTTATGGGACAGTGGACATTAATGAAACGACAGTGTTTATGTGTCAGAGCTCAACAGCTATTGTGGATCCATCATCTGAATACAACTAAAATGACCAAAGGAGGTAAAGCTTTTTCTACTTAAAATAAGGATAAAAATAGAATAAGACAGTGCTGACAATGTGACACGGCACCAGCAATCTGAAACAACACAAACAATTAAAGACTGTCAACAAGTTACCCCGTAGTAGATCGAATGCAGAAGTGATGCTGACTAACAAATTCTTTAAACGCTTTAGCTTCCCTCTCATCAGAGCTGAGATAAACACACTGTTCAGCACCAAATCACTTAGAGGCACAGTTAGTGATTAGATGGTGGACATAGTGGAGGTTCTCAGAAGTCAGAGAGGAACAAAGCAGAGCTACACGAGAAGAATATCTGACATAAATTCCAAATGAATGGTAACTTGTGGTAACTTCGACTGATATAGTCACTTATACAAATGAGGTTTGTAATACAAGGTTTAATTCCATGTAGCAACATGTATCAGCTAGAAACGTCTGAATTGATTTAGTTTCGTATGTCTATTATTAAAAGTTTATAGCAACAGGATACCTCAGAATGGGCCTCTTGTAGATGGTTACAAATGTGAGCATTAAGCTGTCTGCATATAATCTGTAAATGACCTAATATGACAGAAATCTATGCATTTTTAAACATTTTAAAATACCTGTTAAGTCTGGATAAAAAAAACTGTATTAAAAAGACAATGATTTTTCATCACTGTGTGAACGAAACACCCTGAAAAGAAGTAGAAGCACCAGAAGAGGCCTAATAATCTGTTCCCAAACAGCAAAAGTATATTTTGACGGTGAGAAATAAGAAATGGTTTTGAAAATCAGTCATAACTCATAAAGCTGCACTGACGCAGCACTAAAGTGATGAAGGTGTGGACTAACCTATACTGACCTCTGACCCAAATATGACCCACATTTGCTGTAGCATTAGCAGCGGTGATGCAGCTAACGCCAGAACACTAATGTGCAGTTTTGTAACATTATCACTAATGACGGGTATATATTTACATGATACATGCTAAAACATGATTCCCATCAAAATATTTTAATATACAACAGTACATGACAAACTGAAACTGTATGAAATTAGTGAAAAATTAGGGAATCGTTAATGACCCCCTCCCCTCGCAAAGAAAAACGACAACAACAACTTTTTTTTTCACTATATGAATCCCATTGGAAATTCCCCCCATATTAGTTTTAGAGATTTAATCATAGGTCAAGATTATTATGCGACAGTAACATTACTTTGTGGAGCTTTCCCTCCTCTAATAAAAACATGTTACAATTTATAACTAAAAGTTACATTTTGTATTGTCTGTAAACATTTAAAGGTATTGAACTGCAATTTGCCTTTCAACGATTTTTGTACTACACTTTTTGTACGGAACTCTTTGTGCACGTGGTGTGTTTGTGTTTAAAATTTGTAAATGATCTTGTGTGTGTGTAAGCACTCAAGTGCGTACATAAGATGAAGTCTGTATTTCACCATAATTCAGCCATTGCTTATCAATGTTGAGTGAGCACTTAAACCAACTCAGTGTTATCAGCAGCCACACTCGAAGCGTGCTTTATGGAACGGTCATATCAAATATTTTGTTCTAATATTACACTGTCCAGTAATTCATTGCTCCCATGTTGGTGACACCTGTGTAATTATTTTTTTAATGGTTGGTGAAAAATTCTCCCTTTGTTTTCTCTTGTGTTTGGTACAGACAACTCTGTGTGCGGGAGTTAGCAGGAGCGAGAGAGATGACTCTTTATTTTTCTGTTAAGGAGACAATGTGTGATTGCGTATGACTCATATCTTTGTTCATTGTTTTAATCACAGACTGCCTGTCTTGACTACACAGCTGGCTCGACACTCACATATCGGGTCTTCCAGCTAAGCCGCAGATATTGTCCCTTGCTAAAGTGCCTAGTTGCAGGGTGGCAAACATTAAGGCCAGCAGTGTTTGACTACGCAGCAAAATAAAGTCCGCAGAAATAAAACTCCAGGGTTTATTGAAAGTTCAGATTATTTGTTTTAAACTGCAGAGACATCAGTGGAATGAGGGTGTTTCTCTTTCATGCTGCTTAGTATTTCTGTTGCGTCGGTATGCAGACCTTATTGCCTTTACTGTGTAATTGTAGTTTCTACTTACTTTTGTGGATAAATATTTTAAACCTTAACCAGAACGTTGAGATTATAAAATGTTGTCCATCTAAAAACATGTCTGTGTAAACAAACCAATAATAGCCATTTATTTGTTTCCATACTAATCAACACATCATCAAATCTATAATCCTGCATAAGAAATACTTTAATTGGAAGCTTTTTCTTTCTTTTTTTGGGGTTTATTTTTGTTTGCGTGCCAAGCTGACGTCAGTTTGTTGCGATTTCTGTTATCTGGCCACACCTCCAAAGGGAAGGTTTAGCAGGTGAGAAGCAGCCAGTCAAAACAAAGGTGGCTTTTAAGGAGGGGCAGCCTTGGAGATCCAAGACAGGTAGAATTATGCTTAGTTTGCACTATTACACTTGTGTCCGTTTTCATTAGTATTTGCCTACAGAGAGGGGCTTTCAACCACTGCAGATATGTTCCCGTTGAGTCCTCCAAAATCCCAGCTGCACATCGCTCAATCTAGATGAAGCACAAAAAGACCATCAAAGACCAAAAAAAATAGAACATGAAGGGTACAAGCAGCGGCTGCTGTAGACACTTTTCACTTGTTGTATAACTTCATTCTTCACCATGGGTGGCTGATGGACCAACAACAGCACAAGCAAGATTAGCCCACTGACTGGTTGTACCACATATTTTTGATGCAGTTTGACTTTCTGCCCACAGACTGCCACCACTGAACCATAATGTTCCCATAACACTGTGATTGCTGCATAAAGGTTCAGTACAAATAAATAAGAACTGAACAGTAGAACTACTCTGGGCCAAAGAATGAAATGTCCCCTTCATGTCTAATTCTTTCTGATAAAGACTTAAAAAAGAAAAAGACTTACTTAAAAGTGGCCGTGTAGCACGTTTACATTACTGTTGCACTTTTACCCAAGTGAAAGATTTGGATACAATTTGTAATTACTTAAGATATTAATAGGAAGGAAATAATTCACTTTTTGAGCTATTATTCTGTGAGTTTATGTGAGCTCCTTCACTGCATGCTTGTGATGGGAGGGTTCAGTGACCACTCACAGCTTGTGAAATGTCAGGAATGCTGTTGAGCAACTCTCATCTGTAATGAAGCATGGCTGCAAAGGAATATGACATCAACATACGCCATGGATGGATCTTAAAGGTTTGGTGTGGATGGAAGTAATTAGCTACCAACTGTTTCTGGTCAAAAATCTTATGGCAATCAGTGGACTGTTTGGTTACTGTCAGTTAATTCTGATTAAACTGCAGATGTAGGTTAAACAAGTGGTAAACACCTAGAAATCTACCTGTTTAATCAATAGCATTTCAGTTATTTAGTCAACAATTTAATTACAAATGTTTAAGTATTCAATGTAAATGATTGCAGGTTTCCATTTGTATGATATAAAATGAAATGCACAAAAATGGTGCAGTTTTCTACGGGTCTCGGCTGCAGCACCAACTTTAGCCGCTGCCGCGGAGACCTGCGCCTTTAAAGGTTCCCAGAACTGTTACCATAGAAACGCTACAGAGTCGTGAGTCTTCTGCGGGAAGGAGAGTAAAACTTGGAGACCGTACGGTTTACTCTGGCTGAAATTTGAAAAAACAACACATAAAGTCATGTTCTCGCAGCTAACGCCTGAGGAGTCGGCTTCAAGGTGAGTTTGTGTGCTGCTTCTTCCCGTCCGAGCGAGTGAAGCCCAGCCAACATCAATCTGAGCGGTCAGTGCTGCTAACTTTCTGCCGCTGCTTGTGTGTGAACAGGATGTGGACAGCAGCGGGACGCGACAGTAGCTATGTCCTCGTAGAGCTACAAGTATTACAGCGAGAGCAGGAAGAGCTCAACGCTAAGTACGAGGAAAGCAAACAGGTGCGGAATTATTTCTCGAGACGCGAGGCAGTCACTTCTCGCGATAGCTGAACGATCAGTCTGAAGGGTGGCGTGAACTTTACCAACGCACTGTAACAATACTGAATGTTTAAGTATTTCTTATCTTAAAAACGAACAAATGTATTTAAGTTTCATCAAAGAATTAAGAGCACTTTATTGGGAGCATCTATTAATTCCTAAACAATTATCTAAACAGCCAGTTATCTGCCACTTAAAGGCAGTGGCAGGGCTGTCCCATCATTCAGTGTTGTTAACAATAAAATCTAAATAATAAATAAAATCTATTTGCTGTAAAAGTGTATGACTATATTATATGATATATCAGGAACTATTCATATAAATGCCATAATCTTTAAAAGAATTAAGGGATCATTCATTGCAGTACAACACTAATGAATTTAAACGTCTATGCAGCTTGCAGGTGGTGGTCACAGGCCATTGCTCTCTCTTTATTCCTGAGAGATTTTTCTGTACATTTAGTTTTTGCTAGTGTCCTTGTCAGTAGTGGTTGCATGAGATGGTTCCTTCTTCAGCCCATTGGAGGAGCTGTATGTGCCCCCCCCCCCCAAGACAAAAAGAAGCCTATTGCCTCCCAGCACAGTCTTAGTAGTAGAGATAATAGGAGATTGGCTATGCCAGAGGGCTGTAGAAGGGCATCAACCCAGCTGGGCACCAGCATCTGCACTTTTAAGTAGGAACAGGAGGAGCACTGCTAAAGCCCTTCAAAATGACCTCCAGTACGCTACTTGTGCATGTTTCTGAACAAACTATCAGAATCAGACTCCATGAGGGAGGCATGAGGGACCCACCTCGTTTAGGGGGACCAACTGGATTGAAATTCACAAATAGTATGAATGCATCTTCACACTATCATGCACCCACTGCCAAACCAGTCATGCTGGTTGATGTTGCAGGCAGCATAACATTTGCCATAGTGTCTCCAGACTCTTTAACATGTGTAAAATATGCTCAGTGTGAATCAGTGCCAGTTTTGGTGTTTCCTGACAAGAACAGAGGTCTGTGGTCACCACCTGCAAAACCATTCCCTTTTTGGAGACATGTCTTATTTGTGCCTCTCCAGTGTACCTGTTGTCACTTTCATTTGGGCTAAAGCAGGTGAAATTGATTCACATTGGTTTATGCTTCCTAACTGGACAGATGGAGATCGTTAAGTTTGTGTTTTACTCTAATGATCAAATGTTTGTCTTAATTGTTTTAAACAGTGCAACTTAATGTACAGTAACTAATTTTATAAGCACTTGATATGTTTTGTATACAAATATCTTAATTTTGCTACCCATGCTCATAATTTCAGAGGGAAGAAGAAGAGTAGGACAGCATAAGAATTCAGATTTGCAAGTAAAATATAAGTATCTCTAAACTGTACTTTCATTACAGCCCAGAACTGCGACATGCTTGTCTTCTTGTAGCAAAAGTCTCATACAAATTTTGGCATAATTTATTTATTTTTAACCCTATGATGTGGGTTTATGTAGGTGTTGGAGAGTTTGCAACAGCGTGAAGAGGAGTTGCACAAGAAGATAAAGGAAATGCAAGACCTGCATTTAAGCTTTGACATGTATCACAAGGTATGACAGGAGATCACGTTACATGCTATAAATGTTATGGGAGGAACAAAAAAGTAAGGCCCTCAATCTGCTTCTAGGATGAAGAAGCTAATCGAGCAATCGAGAAAGCAGAGCAGGAGAGACAAAGGGTGCTTCAAAAAGAGGCAGAGATAGAGAGGCTGAAGGAGCAGTTGGCCAAACTGACTGAGGAGAAACAGGAGCTCGAGCATCAGGTGAAGAGACACTCTGTGTACAGAGATCTCTTGGAGCAGCTGCTCAAAATAACTAAGGTACTGTAGCTTTTGAATACAAGTATTACAATAAATGTGACAAATATTATTCTCAATTCAGTACATCATCTGATGCTTTAATGCCTGTTTTTAACATATATGGATAAAGTGAGATATTTGACTGTCTCATAAAAAATATCAGCTCAATTTGAATGTGATGGATATGGATTTATGGGATTTGCAAATCACGGCATTCAGTTTGTATTTGCATTTTACAGTCCGTCCCATCTTTTTTGGGATTTGGGGTAACGATTGCTGATGATAGCAGTGGATTTGTTTCAGATCGCAGGCAAACTCTGGCATGTTTGACATAGATGGTAATTTGCTTTTCGGGCTACATCCTTAATGAGAGTGTAATTGTGTTGCAGTTTAAAGATGTGGCGGCGCTCACAGATCATTTAGAGAGTCTCTTCCACTTCAGATGCCAGCTCTCTGAGAGGGAGAGTAAGGCACAGGAGCAGGCTGATGAGCAGAGAAAAGCACTGCTGACACTGGAGCAACAGCACAACCTGCTGTTGCTGCAGAGGAACAACCAGCTGTCTCAGCTCCAGACCAAGCTGGAGAAAACTCACTCTGAAGGTCTAATATGGGTATGACACATAATCCTGGATCAAAATCCCAGCTTCAGTGCTAAGACGGCCTTAGATGTTGGCGTCTTCTGAATGAACTCTGGTTGTCCTGTGTTCATGCAGGAGAAGAAATGGAATAACATACAGGAAACGGCTGCCAGGAAAACACTGAAGCTGGGACAGATTAAGATGGCAATTTTAAATCTGTATGAAATGACTGGTGGCCAGGTAGGAGGAGAGGAAGGTGTGGATGTGAATGACACTGAGAAACAGCTGGAGCAGGTGTGTACCTTCACAGAGCAGAGACGGTGAGCAGCTGACAGTGAAACATTAAAATGAAGATTGTAACACACACCTCCCTACTGTCTTTTCCTTAGGTCAAGCAGTTCTTCGAGGACCAGACGGACATAGTGCAACAATATCAGCCTCACTCACAAAGGCGTAACAATGATCAGGGAAAACAGAAAAGCAAAAAACCCACAAATAAAGAAATGTGAACAGACTGTCTTATGAAATTATTTGTACACTGGATCTGTTTAAATATTGTTATTACTATTTTTTATCTAAAGTCTATTTGTGTGTTTATGATTTGAATGAATTAACTGAAGTTGAAATAAGTACTGTAATGTGTGTATATATATAAGTGCTTACGGCTTTAAAATGTAATTCGCTGACTCAACTTCAGAAATGAATTCAGCAAACACTGATGAACATGAACTGCAATCAGCAGCTGCTTTGCGTTTACTGTATATTTATGTACTGTCAGGATTAAAGTAATAAGGGGGCACATAAAACTAGCAGGCCTGTGCCAGAACTGAGCAACTTTCCATCTAACTACAAACGCACAACAAACACTTGTAGTAGGCTACACACATAATGAGTTAATTGGTCAGTACGACAGTCATTTAGCTTCTTATGTGATCTTAATCCAATAAATTAATAACAACAACTTTATTTATATAGCACACTTAAAGACCAAGGGTACACCAAAGTGCTTCACAATAGTACAGCAGATTAAAACATGAATAATTAAAGACCATTAGCAATGTACCGAGTATGCTAGCGGGTCAATGGCACTAATTGGGCAAGAATAAAAGTTAAATAAAGAGTAAATATCACATCATAATCAATAGAAACACATGGATATCAAGTGAAGAAATATATATAATGGTAAGCACATAAAATGAAGATGGTATAGGAGTGTTAACTAACTGGAAAAGCAAGGTTAAATAAGTGAGTTTTTAGTCATGATTTAAATGTTTGGATGGAATCGGACGCACAAATAGCAATGGGAAGGTTGTTCCACAAATTAGAAGCAACCAGGGCAAATGCACGGTCACCTCTGGTCTTAAGCCGAGATCTAGGCTGTACCAAGAGTAATTGGGCTGATGATCTTAGGGCTCTCCCAGGGGTGTATGGTCTACGGAGTTCAATGAGATAGCTAGGCGCTATATTGTTTATGATTTTAAAGGTAAGCAGCAACATTTTAAATTCAATATGGTATTTGACAGGGAGCCAGTGCAAATCATTAGTTAACTTGGAACTTGGAAATAATGATACTTGTTTAATCCCTGACACCTACTAATAAACATGTCAGTGCACAACTCATGAACCCAGTGAATTGTTCCAGTTTCACTTACTTGGTTAATTAGACCTGTTTCCACTTGGAAGTTGGAATAGAAGAAATTATGGTAAATGGCCTGTATTTATATAGCGCTTTACTAGTTCCTAAGGACCCCAAAGCGCTTTACATATCCAGTCATCCACCCATTCACGCACACATTCACACACTTCACAAATTATGATGCTGATCATTCAGAACAGTTAAGCTACAATAGTTTTACACAAGCGCAGTTGGTAAGTACACTTGAATATGAACATACCAAAGAGGTTGGATCTGTGTGTGGTTATATGAGTGTAATTTTTTTCACTAAAACACAGATTATTATTGTTGAGGTTTTTATGAAAGACTAGGAGACTTTGATTAGTCTAAGAAACAAAGGCATGAAGAGCAAAGCCCAGCTTCAGTTTTTCCCTCTCCTGTATTATTCATTCATGAGTCACATGGCTGTTTTGAAGGGATTTCGAAAAACATTTCCTAACACTGGAAGAGCAAATATTTGCTTAGTAGGAATAAGCTGAACATATTTTTTCCTAATCCAGGGATGGTTTCTCTCCAGCCCAGTCAAAAGATTGAATCTAGAGTTCAGAACACATTTGTCACAGTGTCATACAAACAAAATACTCCTACAGCCAGAGAAAATCAGATAAGATCAGTGAGATGTTACAGGTAGTATCTGTTTATGCGCTTGCAAATGATCATGGCATTTTCCTGCTTTATACCTGCCTACGCCACAGGAAAGCTCACCTGTTTCGGGGTGGAGCCATAGATGAGCTCAGTCTCAGGGATCAGCTACAAACATTGACTAATCTTCAGTGGCAGTCGTAGGCGGAAACAATGAGCAGTTTTGGTTAGGCCAAAGTGAAGCTAGAAACTCGTGTTTTGTGGAGTTTTTTGTGGTTATTTTTTTTATTTTTTTTAATCTTGGGAGTGTTGCCTCTCTGTTTGTATTTGGAGCCGAAGGTTTTGGGGTGAGGGGGTTTGTACCCTTTGGTAATCATGGAGAGACTTCCTGTCGCTGTCGTACTGCTGTCGCTTCTGAAAGGTAATTTTTTTGTTTTACATGTTAGCTTCATGTTTGTGTAAAAACAAGTGTACTAAACCAGTTTATCAAGAAAATGTTAAAAAAAAAAACACTTACAAAAATGAACATAAGTTCAAGTATCGGTCACATGACACAGGTGTTTACATGAAGCAATCAAACATGACCGTCTTGTTTCATAGTTGGTTAAGCAAATTATGTGTTACTCGTCTTTATAACCGATTTAAACATTTGTCTGTCGGAGATTATTAATATTTGGGTCACTTTAGAGATACTTGGGACCCTGACCATTGAGTCACTCTTTAAAGTTAAGCCAACGATTTTCTTTATTTCCACTCTGGAAAGAGTCACTGCGCTATGCGCACACTTAGATGAACTCATCGGGTTTCATTCCACCTTTTCAGTGTTTGTTTGGTAGTTTCACAGTAGGCCACTTCCTGTGTCTTTGTCTGTGCCACCTGTTTTTCTGGTCCTGCTACTTTGACATTAACTCCTTGGCTCATAGTAGCTCTCACTCATTGTCTCCTTTCCTCTATTCTTCTTCCTGGACTTTTGCTGATAAATAATGTAACCTAATGGATCATTGTATAATACTATATGTGGTTAACTCTCTGTCTGTTGTCTTTCTGCAGTGTCAGTATGCGTTCAGGTGATCGTTCCCTACACGCAGTACAGCACGCTTTTGTTTGCCAAAGTGGTCCTCCGCTGCGACTACTCCACCTCTGCAAACCCCCAAAACGTTATTCTCACATGGACTTTCAAGTCTTTCTGCATGGACCCTGTACTGCAGTATTACTCCACAGGTACAAAAGCAACTGTCACCTGAGGGGAGGGGGGGGTGCCGCCGCCGCCGCCGCCGCCACAGAGTGGGATTAAAGTGCCAAAAAACTTTCGGCAGCGGTGACAAAGATGGAAATCTATGTAGATGTAGATTTAAATGCATATACATTTC